CCACCATACCCCAGGTACTCTTGGGGAACCATAAACTGTCAAAGAGGTTCAAACTTCTCTTCAGGGACTACTGGATGCTGTAGGAGACACCAGGTACTCTTGATTTTTTTTACTTGAAAAACATAAATGCTATCAGCAAATGCTGCATTTGTAAATTTTACGTCAACTACACTGCAAAAACTGTCCATCTTACCAAGTTTTAAAATCTTATATCCAGCCAAAAAGTCTTTTTGATCTTGTTTTGAGACTGATTTACTAAACAAGAACTGATTGTGTAAGAAATCAAATTAAGTCAAAATTTTCTGCCAATGGAGTAAGAAAATTTTACTTGGTAAGATTCTTGAAATACGTAAAAATTGAGTCAAATCAAGTATTTCAAGAATCTTACCAAGTAAATTTTTCTTACTCCTTTGCCAGACATTTTTCACTTAATTTAAGTCAAATTTTCAGACTAACAAGACAAATAACACGTTCTCAAAACAAGATTATTATTCTTACACAATCAGTTCTTGTTTAGTAAATCAGTCTCAAATAAGATCAAAAAGACTTTTTGGCTGGATATATAAGATTTTAAAACTTGGTTAGGTGGACATTTTTTGCAGTGCAAGATGCATCAGGACATTTGGAGTTTCCCTAAAATCTATCCAGTGGTTCATGAGATAATTTGCTAACAGACAGTTTAATTCAGTGGTKAATGTCAAAGTTTTTCAAAACAAATAATCAGTCTGCATTCAGATTATAAACTGAGGATGACCCTGAACTACTACCAAACCAAATTTTAGCTCAATATCYGGAGAACTGACKGAGTTAGACATTTCTGTCTTGGCTGAAGTCACTGYAGCGAACAGCTTGAATTGAGTTCATTTCAAATATAAATTAGTTGTAGACGTACATCTATGATTACCTGAGAGTTTCATTCAAATCTATTTCAGTGGCTGGTGAGATATTTTATTGACAGATAGAGAAACACAGATAACATTATAATGATGGTGATAATTATGAGGATTTAATGCTCTGCTCACCTGTGTTGCACTTGCAAAGGTGATATCACATGTTGCTAATGCTCCATGATACTGTATCAATAAAATGCACCAGGAAAAAAAATACTTTAATGAAATGGGTAAAAATAACACTGCTTCTCTTGTCAAAATAAGTAAATAATCTCAGCTATATTGGAACAGAAATGAACTGTGACCTTAAATCAGCAGGACTTTTTATTAAAAGTAGCTTGTCAGCCAAACTGATCCTCATGGAAACATGGAAAATGGAAAAGAGGTTCATTTGTCAGTCAGATTTATCTCTTTATCTATTTTTGTTGACATGTGTTGATCCACCCACTCTGTTTTATCTGTACGTTTCACTGTTAAAGAGCTGACATCTTATTGGTTTGTAAAGTTTGTTAACCCAAAACTCAACATAAYCCAACTCACCTCCATTTGTAGCTCTTTTTTTTTTTACACAATAACACTGGAGACTGGATACTAGTCATACTACTGTTGTATGCTAGCTTGTATGGCACCAAAATAAAGTTTCCTAGCTCAAATATTATTCAGTTTTGCAACTGTATTTCATGTGTTCAGATTCAGTTTTGTAATTAATCTGCCTCCATACAGACAGAGGCAAAATACTAGAAAAAAGCCTTTAATGTGTTTCTCACAGTAGATTTTTCAATGATCCTTGCTGAGACACACACTCATATACAGTAATGGATCCCATTGCATATTTTGGATGCAGACARGCTTGTTTTTAGCTTTCAGAGTCACGCACAAGTGTTTCTGAGTGACRTTTATAGTCATTTATCCCTCAAGAATAACCCTGCCACTACTTCCTCTTATCTGCATTTCCCACATTGGGTTTTAGTGTCAAGGTTCTATAGTTAAATTTAAAAACTGCAAGAAAACAGAACTGTAGAGTACTAGTTTTAGGATCTGGACACAGTTTGCAAAGTTTCAGAGTTGGCCTTGTTACTATGTTTTGGTAATGTTTTCCTCTTTTTTCTCTCACTTTTTGTTCATTAAGCTTATTACAACAACTCCACTAAAGTAGCCGTGAAGACGTTGAAGCCTGGCACTATGACTGTAGAAGCTTTCTTGGATGAGGCCAATGTGATGAAGACATTGCAGCACGACAAGCTGGTTCGGCTCTACGCCGTCGTCACCAAAACAGAACCCATCTACATCATCACTGAATACATGGCCAACGGTATTTACGGTGCACTCTGTTGCTATTGATGATGTCATCAAGGAGAGAAACTGAGTCATTGAGTCAGAACAGGGCTGAATGTGCTGTAAGGTCTTCTGAATATGAAAATAGATCATCTGAATCGTTTTGAAGTGGTTTAATGCAGAGACATTATCAGTAGTCAGTATTTTACCTGCAGTGGGCAGAAGTCTGAAACAATCTTAGTGTTTCAAATCAGAGAGAAATCTCATTGACGAATGAAGAAATAGCCTGTCTGAATGTAACCAAATTTAAAGTGGATTTCTGACCTTTTTCAAACAACTCAAATCTTAAAGATTCAACTCAGCTCAAGTTAAATACATTTTATTGTATTTTGCACTGCCTTACTTTTCACCACAACCTAAAAGGTGACCATGATGTGCTGATTTGTCAACTGTTTGTTCAAATGAAACAAAAGAAAAGAATGTAAACAAAAGAAGTTTAAATAATTTTTCACCAGGAATTCTTTTTTTCCCCCCTTGTGGCTCATGAAGGTTATATTAGCATCAAACATTAAAAAAAGCATCTGTTTTGTTTTCTTCATCTGCTTCTGTTCTGTCCCTGGTTGTCTTTGTCTCCTGGGAGTCCAGGACTCTAATGGAGAGGTTTAGATGATACAGTTAACATTCCGAAGACATTGCAATTGATTGGACAGTAGAGTGTGGACCAATGAATATGGTCAGATATGATCTTCACTGAAAGTCAAGAGAGTTTCCCATAAAAATTCATTCAATACAGCACTGAAAACAAAATAATGGATTTAAAAGAAATTTTTTTTTTGCATAAACTGATATCAGGTTTTCACAGTTGGAGTTGTTTTAACTTGATAAAATTTTGCTTTAAAAGAGGACCCAGTTTAATCAGCTGTTAGCGCGATTCCCTCATCAGAACTTGTCCAGATTGACATAATTTACCCTAATTAACCTTACAAGTAAGATACAAACCCCACTTTAAAAATCTGAACTATGCCTTTAAAGAAACAACAAAGCAACAGTAAGTGCTTAGTGAAAAACACCTGGACATCTTGTCTTGGTTCTTTAGTGACAGTAAAACACAGCACACTGGTGCACACAGTCTCACACCTACAGACTAAAAGGTTTTTGTTTTGTCTTGTCTGTAGGAAGCCTTCTAGATTTCTTAAAAAGCGACTCAGGATGCAAACTGCTGCTACCCAAGCTCATTGACTTCTCAGCACAGGTGACTTTTTTTTCTTCTGAATGTTTGTTATGTTGAATTTTACATTTAACTCTCCTCATATTAAAGAAAATTATGTTACATCACTGTTTATTATAGTTTCCTACTGTTTCATATTTTTTGGTTTTCAGGTAATGTTGCAAGCTCAGACTCAACAATCCACACTTGTTTCCTTGTTCTGTTTCAGATAGCAGAGGGCATGGCATTCATCGAGAAGAAGAATTATATTCACAGGGACCTGAGGGCTGCAAATGTTCTGGTGTCTGACAAAATGATGTGCAAAATAGCTGACTTTGGCTTGGCAAGAGTCATAGAGGACGACGAGTATTCTGCCAGAGAAGGTAAATGTTGGGAACAGGATGTAGTTTTTGTGTTGTGTAAAACTTGATTTTATTACAGTTTTTATTGATTGCTTTGACCTGTTTGAAGGAACTGGGAACATCTCAGTCTTCTTCATCACCATCTCAGCAGAGCAGAGGACACTTCTTGCAATGTGTAAACCCATTCTCATTGGACTGGCACAGTTTTCACACCCTTTTGCAAAACAGTTAATGCTGATGCCATTCAAGAAGTCCAAACTCTGTTTTAGCTGTGGTTACAGAACAGAAACCATCTGCTCCAAGCTCTTAGAAACTCCCTGATCAGTATGAAATCACCGAAAGCACCTGTTTGACACTTCTTCTCAGAATTTTTCCATTTGCAATCAGCCTGTGTTGTTCTCTTATACTCATAATATAGGCCTACTATAGATTTTTGTTCTTTACTTTAAAAGATTGATTTTATTTACCTAATTTCTCACACAGTAAAGGCTTTTATTTTTATTTCCATGTATTCTCTGTGGGAATATTTCATTTGTCAGGCACAGTCTGAAAAAAAGAGTGTAATCAATAAAATTAGCATCAAAGCACACCTCCTTCTGGATGCATGTTTTGCAAGAGTGCAAATTTGACTACAAACAGCACTGGCATGTAGAGTGTATAGTCATAGGCTACAATGACAAGCAATGGTGCACTGATTCACACGAGTGCTGTATTTTGTTGCCCATTGTGTAATGATTGATTGGAGGTGCTCATACATTGTGTCAAAGTTGAGTTGTTTGAAGGCAAAATTTGCTTTTGTTCCATATTTTAAATGTTTTGGCACAGTTATTGCCTTTTGCAGACAAAATGTGTCATTTTGACCACCGTGTCAATGTTTAGGCCTCTGCGTTAACTGTTTTGAAGATGTGGATTTTGAGTTGACGGCTGCGTGAAAGCAACCAATAAAAAACTGTAATGAGTCACTTTCCTAGCTGGCTGTGATGAAATGAAACAAAAAACTAAAGCACTTTTGAAAACAGTTGGGTGACAAGCTTTGTCCCTTGTGGTTTTATTTAAATAGTTTTCCTTTCAGTAGATGTCTGATATTACCGCAATGGTCAGTTCTTCTGAAAACCACAAATTGCACTTCTCTTTGTTCTCATGTCAGGAAATGATGTATTAAAGTAGCAGTTCAAGATTTTTGAAGAGGAGTTTATGGTTTATGGTGAGTGGAAATGAATAAGAAACCTACATAAGTGGGGACCCCATAAGTGGAGCAATGCTCTCCCCAAAAAGACATTGAGTTTTATTCAAACCTTCGTGTCCCTCAGATGAAGGAGACAAGGTTAGAAACACTCAGTGTTCTGAGCTTCTCTGTATCTATAAATGGGTCTCCAAGAATTTGTTTCCTTTGACTGCTCAGAGCCAGGCAGTGGCCTAAGTAGTACAACGAGGTCTCTAAATCAATGCCACAGGCATCACATAGACCATTGTCATGGAGTCCCATCACCATTTTGTTCTGGTTGAGCAGGTTGTGCCAGGTTGTTCAGCCAGTGTATTTAAAGTTTTCGTCAGAGTGATGAGAGCTTTCCCAAACCTAAGATGTGGCCGTTTTTCAGTTCCTGTGCCTGTCTACAATCCTTGAAGGGGGTTTTGTATTAAGGCTATTAACAGTTAATGTCCTGATGCATGCTTAATAATTCAGGTAGAAAAACCAAACAAAATACAGTTGAATCCTCTGGACAGGTTCTTTGTTGAAACGTTTCATCTTTTATTCAAAATCCTTCTTCCGTCTAAGGCAAACCCAGTGTTATGTGCAGGACCTTCACATAGTGGGTCAACCATTTTGAAGGTGACACCAAAAACTGGTTGTTCACATGCAAAAGAAGGACCATCCGCCTAACAATTAGTAATTAGTGCCCTATTGGCTGCTTGTTGTTCACAGAAGGCTGAGTTATACTCCTTCTCTAGGATGAGAACATCATCATTCCTTGAAGAGTGATTGCTGGCCTGTAGATGAATGTAAACTGCAGAGTCCTGGCCTGGGGTCGGATTTATAAAACTGGCGTACGCACAATTTGAGCCCAGAAACTTGCATACGCCACTTTTTACGCCAAGGTTGTGATTTATAAAATCTAAACTTGACGTGAAAATGTGCTGTGCCTCACGCCAGCTTTGACCCATTCATACGCTCATTTTGGAGACGTGAAACTGCGACACAGATGGTGAAGTGAGGAATTAGAGCCACACTGTGTAATGATCACTGTCAGAGATTTAATTTACCTTCAGAATCAGACTTAGATTTTTATTCAACTTTATCATCAGCTTTCTTAACAGTAATATTTATGCTTCTGCTGCTGAGCCATGAGGACCTTTGAAATAAAAAAACTTAAATCTTAAATAAAAGTTCCCGTGCGCAACTCCATTCATCTGCTTCCTCCTCAGACGACCCTGACCCACAGACCCCTCCCTGACCCACAGACCCCTCCCCGACAAGAACAGCAGGACAGCAAAAGTCACGCTTTGGATACACATGCAGGACGCATCCACCTCGCCAGTGTGGATGTTATAAAACTTCACGTTTAAAGTCTGTATTTGTCACGCGTGCTCGCGGGGGAGATGCGTGCGTGTGTGTATGTGCGTGGGGCGGGGGCGTCTGCCGCGGATAACAGAGTAGGCAGGAGGGGGAGAGGACGAGGAGAAGAACGGTGGACTTATTTCTAAATTTATCTGACTTATTTAATTTAATTTTTATTGTTTTTATCGTCCTGCAGGCTCTGAGGGAAATTTAATTTGAAGCTGAGTTTTTTTTAAATAAAAATCCTTAGATTACTCTAAAGCAAAATGAGGGAAAATCTGTGTCAATTACAGACATTCTGTTCACGTGAGCAGCTGTCAGTCAGCACCTGTCAWCCTCCAGACACATGACGGAACGTGTCTGAACCAATCACTTTTGTTGGCATTGATCAGCTGACTGATTTAAATACATCTTAACATTCATGAGGTACTTTGCATTGACTGTTTATGGTTGAATGTGGGCGTGTAGAGGGTAGAACCTGAGGCGGGACCTCGTGCACAAACTCTAACGTGCGGCTGTGATTTATAAATGAAAGGTACGCAGAAACATGCGTACGCACAGTTTTATAAATCTGAAATTTTTTTGGCGTATGCCATTTCCGCCTTTTGGCCGTACGTTCACTTTTAGTATGGTTTCCACGCAATCTTTTATAAATGAGACGCCTGATGATGTAGCTCTTCTGTGCGGAGCCATCCTTTAGGCCAGTGGCTGATTTGTTTGCCCGATGTATAAATGATCACAGTCTTCCTGGCACTTAACAGCATACACAACATTACTCTGTGCTGGGGGACCGGATCTTTGAGGTGAACCAGTCTCTGCAGTAATGTATTTTTGGGTTTGAAAGCCACTGGGACATCATGTTTAGAAAATAAACTTCTCAGTTTCTATGAAACTCACCTAACATACGGAATGACCTCTGGTCTGGATTTGGGGTCCTCCTTTTCACCTGGTGGCGAGCTTGAGTCCTGTTTGCAGGGCCTGCCTTGTGTGGGTTTTTTTCCTTCTTCCTGGCTCCTGGGTTTGTGAGGACACTGCCTGCTCTGTGATTCAGTCTTGATAACCTCTAACTTGTTTGGACTTGCAGACTAGCTGTTAACCCATCCAATACGTTAGAAGTAGTCAGTATTTTTCCAAGGTGAGATTGTTAAAAAGCAATGTGATATTGGTTGATCATGAATTGTTCTCTTATTTCTTTACTAACTTACACCAAATGCCAAATAGTACCAGTGTGAGCTTCAGCAAAAACCTACATTAGTAACCTGAGTCCTGACATACCTACATTTAACAGTTTCAAAAATAATGCACCTGTTTAAATCAGATTTCATAATTTGTGCAAACAAAAATACATTAACACTGTTGACTACTGTGTAGGAGTATAAAACGAATTCTAAATATCTCATGAACAAATAAAGAAGCTGTAATAACAAGAAAAAAATAAAGAATAAAACCTGTTTGGTACAAACAGGAATCGTGTTGCCAACCAACTAAACTAAACCTTTGCAGGCAAAAAAAAAAAGAGTTTAAAAGGCCCAACGGTCACTCAAAAGAGTCTCTGAAGTCTGCAGACATGAAGAATAAAAGCCTCGGCAAGCACTTTACCTGGAAGGCCTTTATGATGGACATGGGGCTCATTTTAAAAAAGTATGATTTATACATCCAGGATATCAGCTGCAAGCTGCACTTGAATAAGCCTTCAACCTGTAAACAGCTGTAATCAGTTGCTCAAATGTCAAGTCATGTTTAAACAGGGCAGCTTTTGTGCAACAGGCCCCAGCTTGATAAAAACAACACTAAACAAAAACATGGCTGGGTTTGCCAAAAGGCATTTAATAACCTGGCCTCGGTTGGCACAGTCCAAATTTAACATCTGAATATATCTTTTTTGTAACAAAATGTATGCTTAACAAAACCTGTTCTTCCTTTGTTTGTATGGGTAATAATTTAACTTCATAACAAAACAAACAAAAAAATGGAATTGCTTTGAAGTCAGACATCTATTTCGGTCATAAATGAAACATTCTTGATCAGTGATCTGAAACAAGGAGACACTGAAACTAGAGTGACAGGAGTTAAGAATGTATTCGGTTATAAAAAACGGAAAGTAAAACTTCCATGAAACACATGACGGGTGATACAGGTGTGTGAGACTATGTGGGAGTATGGGTTATTTATGAAAGTTAAGCTAACTGTAAATAACATGACATTTTTTTCCTTGTCCTTATTTCAGGTGCTAAATTTCCAATTAAGTGGACAGCTCCAGAGGCCATCAACTATGGCAGCTTCACCATTAAATCTGACATGTGGTCCTTTGGTGTCCTTCTTTATGAAATTGTCACGTATGGGAAAATCCCCTACCCAGGTACATACACCACATCTTCTGCATCTTCTGAGTTTGAAAAGAATTTATGAGTGCACTAACTAAACACCCACAAGGGATGATTGGTCCAATTTGGATAGAATTTGATAAACATGAAGACCAGTGTGGTTTGATTTACAAAGAGCTGCCTTAGAACGAGAACAAATAGGCAGAAGTGGTGACATCATGAATGCGGAGATGCCAGAGCATCCAACAGTCGATCAAAACAACCAGCAGACACAAAAGGATGCCTTAAACACTCGTTGGACAACAGTACCAGCCTTTGATGAAGTTGAAGGGTCACATTATAGGTTTGACATCTGGGCCTGGCATCTGTATGCAGAGAATCTTTACAATACCTCATGTCATCCCAAAGTTGTCTCAATGACCGTCATCGGCAGCAGGGGTAATTCTAGGATCTAAACTTTTGGGGGGATTGGCCCCCAGCAGATTTCTAAATCTCACTGTCAATTTACATACATTCACACGTAAAATAAAATAGTTTTGTCCAATTAAAAAGGTAACAAATATACATTGAATTTTAAACTGCAACTCATAAAAGTACATCATACCTGCAGTGCATACACTGCTTATAACAATGAGAAACACATGTTCATGTTAACAACTGTACAACAAGCTAAGGAGTGATGCAGTCCTAGCAGAGTCTGGAGGCATTGGAGATAAATGTTGGGTCTACATTATTATCTGGCCAAATCCGTTATCCATTTAATCTCATTTTGTCATTGTAGTACTGTCAGTGATTTTTTAAAAGCTTTCTCCGTAATTTTGACTAAATGGACGTCCCACAAACAACATTATTTCTGTTATTCTTTTTCAAGGGTTGCAAATGACTTCATATTACAGTTTTTATTGATTGCTTTGACGCAGCCGTCAACTCATTATCCGCATTTTCAAAACAGTTAACGCAGAGGCCTAAACATTGACACGGTGGTCAAAATGACACATTTTGTTTGCAAAAGGCAATAACTGTGCCAAAACATTTAAAATATGGAACAAAAGCAAATTTTGCCTTCAAACAACTCAACTTTGACACAATGTATGAGCACCTCCAATCGATCATTACACAATAGGCAACAAAATACAAAATACAGCACTCATGTGTGAATCAGTGCACCATTGCTTGTCACTGTAGCCTATGACTCTGTAGCTTACATGCCAGTGCTGCTTGTAATCAAATTTGCCCTCTTGCAAAAAAATGCATCCAGAAGCAGATATGGTTTGATGCTAATTTTATTGATTACATTCTTTTTTTCAGACTGTGCCTGACAAATGAAATACAGTTTTTACTGATTGCTTTAAYCYGTTTGARTAAACTGGGAACCTCTCAGTCTTCATCATCACCAACTCAAAAACAATCAATAAAAACTGTATTCCAACAGAGAATACATGGAAATAAAAATAAAATCCTTTACTGTGTGAGAAATTAGGTAAATAAAATCAATCTTTTACAGTAAAGAACAAAAATCTATAGTAGGCCTATATTATGAGTATAAGAGAACAACACAGGCTGATTGCAAATGGAAAAATTCTGAGAAGAAGTGTCAAACAGGTGCTTTCGGTGATTTCATACTGATCAGGGAGTTTCTAAGAGCTTGGAGCAGATGGTTTCTGTTCTGTAACCACAGCTAAAACAGAGTTTGGACTTCTTGAATGGCATCTGCATTAACTGTTTTGCAAAAGGGTGGAAAACTGTGTCAGACCAATGAGAATGGGTTTACACATTTGCAAGAGGTGTCTTTCTTTAAACAGGTCAAAGCAATCAATAAAAACTGTAGTTGTGTATTGTTCTTCATCCAACTGGTACGCTAAATGATGCTATTAAGCACTGCCCTCTAATGGTTACATTCATTTCCTACACAGCATTCACATTTTTTTTTTTCATTTTAAAACTCTCTGAGTCCACCTCTTCACCTTAAACCAGGGGTCCCCAGACTTTTTCCTGTAAGGGCCACATAACTTTTCCCTTCTCTTGGTGGGGGGCTGGAGTCAGTTTGTAACAGAAAAAGTGTGACTATTGCAGGAGTGCCTAAATGTAAAAAWTTATTGTTTTCCAGAAAGCACAATCAAATAACCTCTCTGGGTTCTTCACAGTATGTATTCTGCTGAGCTAACAGTCCACTTTDTAGCTTTGAGAGTTTGTTTGCTCGCATTTGGTCTTGCAAGCTACTTGTCTTTGTGACGGGATTCATAGTGTCGCTGCAGATTGTATTCTTTGAAAACCACCACCGCCTCTTGACAGATGAACAAAACAATAATTGTTTGTCCACTGCAGCTTAAATGCCCTGCATTCTGAATCAATTTTTCTCTTACCTAATCTTTTCACCATTATTCCGTTCTCTCTTTGAGAGGGGCGGGCTTAGGATTTTTTTCTGGGGGTTGCCAGATAGGGGCACAGACTGCAGAAGGGTGGAACAGAAWGTCACGTTATATGCGTGTATGTATGAAATAATTACTAACTAATAATAGTTAAAAACAGTTCATAACTAAGGAACATTTTATTGCAAAAGTCCAACTTTATAATCAAATACAAATACACATATATGAAAAAAAAAYTAAATGCTCTCTGGTATTGTTCTGGGGGCCGGACCAAATGGGGAGGCGGGCCGGATGCGGCCCGCGGGCCACAGTTTGGGGACCACTGCCTTATACCGTCATACATTCATTCACTCTGTTTCTGCCTTGTTTTAAGGTATGTCCAAAGGAGAGGTGATATCGTCGATTCAGCGTGGCTACAGGATGCCACGGCCCGACAGCTGTCCCCAAGAGCTGTACGACATCATGACGTCGTGCTGGAAGCACCAGCCTGAGGACAGACCCACATTTGACTACATACAGAGCGTTCTGGGTGACTTCTTCACCGCTACAGAAGCACAGTACCAACAACAGCTATAGTGCTGACAACTCAGAGAGACATTTTATACTGGCTCCACGTTATGATTAAAGCTACTTCAGACGAGTAGATTTCTTTGTTTACATGTAAAACAAATTATTTTTTTAATCGTATGTTTATAAAATACTTCTCCGTTTTAGAAAACGCTTCTTCAGAGCATCTAAAATGTCACTGTGACGTTTGAGGATTTATGTTTGAGGTCATCCTCAAAATTCCTAATCCATTAAGCATCAAAACAAAACAAAGAACGCTGTAAGTATATGTGGTTGTGTTTGAATCTTTTTTTTTTTACACTAGAACCACATATCTCATATTTCATTTGTTGTAATGTCTGAGCAAATAGCGGACATTCTGTTGTACATTTCATTTCTTGGAGTTATTCAAATTACTGAGTTTCCTTCTGGAAGCTGATATTTATACAAATTTTAGCCTTTTTTTGAGCTGAAACATCAAATAATTATTTTTTTTGGAATTGCTCTTTGCATTTCTAAAGAATATATTAAATGCGTGAAAACTAAAAATGTGCACAAGTTTACAATGATCTGCTTAACATTTCAGAAATTATGAATAAGCTGCTCTAACACTGAGGCTCCCAGCTTCTTGAAGCATTTAAAAATTCTACTGTTTTAAGCGAATAATGAACTTCATCTGTTTTGTCCACCAGAGAGCTTTTGATCACCTCTGGGTCCACTTCATATTGAAGTGCTGGATAGCTTTTTTTGTGTTGCTTGTTTTGGGGGCAAAAAAGTATCGAAGCTTTTGTCTTTATATTATTGTTTCAATAACCATGTTTGCTTTTTATATTAAAATTTCTAATATATTAAGAATGACTTGATTTCAAATTAAATGATGAAGATTTTGAGCGGAATGGTACTTGTTGTTGTGTCCACTATTTGAAACAATAAAATGTTTTTCATTAAAACATGCTTTAGTATTTGAATAGGAAATTTGTATGAACTGAGTGAAACTGGTGTATTGTATTGTATTACATTTAAAAGTTAAGAGAGCTACATCATCAGGCCAGGATATACAAACTAGACTTTCAGCTGTTCCACTTTCCTCCTCCATCTCACTCCAGCTACCTCCCTTGCCTCTCAAACAGTAAGTAAGTAAAGTTTTATTTATAAAGCGCCTTTCACAGAAATATATTCACAAGGTGCTGTCATTAACAGCATAAAAATGGTGGAAAGAATAAAATGAAACAGTAAAACAATTACACATAAGCAACGAAAATTGAAACATCAAATCAAGAATTAATTTCTAAAATTGTAACTCAAACACAAGGTCAATGCAGGGCAAAAAAATACAATAATACACAAAAACATAATGAATGCGGGAGAGAAGAATATGGCGTAAGTTCAATRATAAAAACAAACAGATTGGCGAGCATTTACAACGGAGGTAGRCTGGCATTAATGGTGAAATGGTTAGCTAAACGCTTGAGTGAAAAAGTGAGTTTTTAGGAGWGTCTTGAAAGAAACAATATTATCAAGGGAGCGCAGATWMAAAGGGAGTTCATTCCAGAGCCTGGGGGCCACAGAGGAGAAAGCACGGTCACGTAAATTAATTTGTGCATTTCAGTGTGTATTTCTCTTTCTTTACTTATTTATTTATTTATTTATTTATTTATTGGGGCATTTATATACTTCTGCTTGCAATTTCAGTTATGTCAGTTTCTGTCCTAGACTAGGCACATTTTCAGGAGTTGGCACAGTTGCTCTGTGAAAAGAGTGGTTCTGCTGCTAAGGGTGGTGTCTGATTTTAACTTTATTTAATGCCCTGAAACTTTTAGCAAAAGCTAATTCTAAAGCACTAAAATAACCCAGCCAACCTAAGGAACACTCAGTGAGCCACACATTATGTTGCTTTTTTAAGCCTCATCATTGACATTCCACAGCCTTATGTGTGTTCATGCAATTTAGGGATGTGACTCATTAGAATGGACCATTTTTTTACTCACGGTGTTCAACAGCTGTTGAGGATGCTAGCTCACTTGCAYGTTGGTAATTTTCCGATGTTTATGGTGGGGCTTCGTTCAGAAAGAATGCAGGTTATCAGAAAACTGAAATTGTTTAATGGAGAACTGAAGCGATGCATTCTGGGTAGAGCAAGGCATGGGGTGTGGGAGGAAACGGAGTACAGAAAATAAAAATATTGAACAAAACCACAGGGGATCACATTTTAAAGTAAAAAAAAATCCATACTTGTAAATTTTAAATATAGATTATTTTTTTTATTAAAATTATCAATGAAGAAATGTTTAATTAGTTTGCTAAGACTGGGGGCGTCACCACCACTTGCTGCCAGGTAAGCACAAAGCATTGTGGGAATTGTCTGGCAATGGCTATAAACTGAGTCAGGGGTGCAGTCAGAGTATACAGCTTCTGAAAGAAACAGAATGCATTTCCAGTCCATGAGGGTTAGCTGTCACGAAACATTATTTACTGTGAACAGAATATCTAACAAGCATATAAACAAAATGAGTGACAGTTTTCACCTCCAGCAGTTAACAATAATGTTTATCAATGACATTTACAGACCCGAGTTAGTGCTTCTAAATGTAGCAAGTACTAATTCACTAATAC